AACACAATTAAATATATTTAGATTACAGATTCTTTATAATGTGAAGATGAAACTTATAAAATTTCAACAAACGAATGAGCTATAATCAGTGCTAAAATTGGCACCATGGGTAAAAATGACAGCTACTGTATGGTGAGGTATTGAACAATATTGATCTTTTTAGGTTGCAGGATGTACTGTAATTGCCAAAAACATTTTGGGATACTACAATTCAAGCACCTGTAATTCATTGCCTGTTGTAGTTGTTGGTATTCTTTATCATGCCAGTGTTTGTGAACCATAAACCAGATGTTTCAGCTGGGAAAAGATACAATGAATGTGCTGGCTAAGGCAAAACCACAACTAGCTGTGTGTCATGTAATAAAAAAAAATAATATGCTGTGATCAAATACCAGATATGACCACCAGGTGAAACAATAATCATTGCTGTACAATTAAGAACAGGGTTGAAGAGATTTTTATATTTTTAGGGGTTATGGTACTGCAATTCAGGCAGCTGTTAATTCATTGCCAGAGTGCATCTGTTGTAGCTGTTCATGGTCTTTCCATGCCAGTGTATGTGATATCATATGGTGGCTGTAATTTTTCCTGAAGATATGACATAATAGGCATTTGTAACACAACACTGGTCAAGCTACTGAGTATGCATACCAGATGCAAGGATTTGCATCTCATACCATAATTCTCAGTGTTAGATTAGTATGATGAGGCATAAGACAAGATTCTATTAAGTTTTCCCTATGTGCCTAAATTGCGACTGTGATGAACTGTCAGTGCTCAACAGCTTCAGCTACTGATAGACCACCACTATAAAGTTATAAACTTGAAAAAATACATAATTTCTGTCACATTGTCCTTTACCCACCCATTTCCTATCTTGATGTAAGATGCAGGAACAGGTTTTATCTGAAACATCATGCTATTCTTGCTTCTATAAGCATTTTCAACAAACCACTGTAACTGCAGACACCTGTGCTATAAGCTAGGCAAAGAAATGTTCACCATGCGGATACTTTGGAACCCTCAAACAATACTTTAAATTGTGTGGATAGTTCTTGTACTGCACACTGTATTTTCTGTGCTAGAATATGTTATTTGATTGCGTGGTTTCTATAGATAATCCACACAAGATACATGTTTATTTGGGCAGTAGTCAAGATCAGTGTGAGCCTGCATGTAGTTCCACCCATTTGTCCTAGACCCACCGATTCCACATATGCATGACAATGGTAGGATTTTGATCAGCACAAATAGCATATAATGATATGATAATCTACAATCACAATATGCTATTATTTTTTTCCAGATCAAATTGAGATATATGCTGCCTCTTTTTATTCAAGTCATGATGCATGATTTACAGTTCTAGTTGTACAAAAAAGAAGGAACACAATGAAATCTTGTTCTCTTTTCTTTTTTGTACCAATTCTAGTGGTATGGATGTCTATTATTTGCATATGTGCTGTATGACTTATTTTTATTTCTTACAATATGTTATGCAAATTTCACATTGGTTGGCTGACTTCTTTTCTTAGCAATTTCAATGGCCAGTAATGTATAACTGTAAAAATATTCCACTTTGAATACAATAATAACAAACATTTATTCACTAAACAAAGGGTGCTTGCATATTTTTGAACACTTTTAATGCAAAGCAATGAATTATATTAAAAATTCAGTCCATAAGACTTCTCAACTTTGGATGTGTACCTGACTTCAGTATTAAAGCACGTTTCTTAATTTTATTATGGAAAATTTTCCCATTTCTTTTGTGCTGTTTTTCATAATTTGTCAATTGTCTTTGGTTGACATACAGAAAATGCCCTTTCCAACAATTTGAAAACTTAGTTCATGCTACAAATTAATTACTACATCAAGAGGGGTTGTTAAAAAAGTTATGTATTTTTTTTTTCTTTCCTTTTTCCAAAAAATTTAACTGTAAATGTTAACTTATGATCCATGGCTTTGTCTGAGTAAATTTCTTTTACATTGTACAGAAAAAGAAGTAGGATTTTTTTTTTTTTTTTTTTTTTTTTTAATATGGGAGTCAAACACTATTTCAATAATGAGGGGTCTAGTTTCATTCTTTCAACTGAATTTTAGGTTTCCTTTGTATGAAAAACCAGCTATAAACATAAAACCTTTTACTAAAACTTTCCTCAGACTTTGAAACCAAGTTTTCAAGTTTATCTCTCTTCTTTTATGATAACAGATTGTTTTTTGTTAGAAATTTTCAACTGTAGCCATAATTCATCTATTGTCAGCAAATTTCTATTTTTCATGTGATAAATTATTTTTGTAAAGAATTCTGTTCCTAGTTTGGAACTCCACTGTCTGCCAGAGGAAGCCAATGAAGATTGTGGTGTGCGAGTATATATATATATGTATATAAAACATTTTAAAATTTAAACCTTTATTTTATTTACATTGAAGACAAACATTTTAAAAGCTGTAGTGCTTATTCAACAGGCGAATCTTTTAAACCAACAGATTATTTTTTGAAATAATCCTCAAAGTCTTTCTTTTGAATTAACATGTGTGAAAGAATATCTTGTATAAATCAGTAATTATTATAATGAATAACATTATTTATTGTTTTCTTGCATATCTTGATTCCAAGATTCCTACAATATTTTTGTATTGAAAAATATTTTCCTTTGGAAAAGTCGAAAACATGAGCTTCTGTCTGGAATTTTGATTTAATTCATGAGATGTTAATTTTTTATGTTTCATTAATTTCATTTACTTTGCTTAATCAAAATTATTCAAAAATATGTGAACACCCTATGTACATTATGAGCAACACTTCATAATATACCACAAATAGCAATTTAGTCTTAGTGTTATGGGTAGCAAATGCTGATTGCCAGTCTGAAACTATGAGAGGTAATATTGGTTTCTTGGAATAATGTTCTCTGCAATGAGACAGTTATAAAAAAATGACTAATGGGGGGGAGATACTATAATCCTATCTAATGGCCATTGGGCATGCTATGAATACCTAATTGGACATAAAAATTACCTAATATTTTTTTAACTTTGTAATTTTTTCCTTTTTTGCAAATGTATGGTGGTGATCTCCATATTTTTTCTAAGAAATGAAATAATATTCTTGATCATTCTTCACTGTAATTGTTTTAATTGATTTTACATTATATGGATTATAAACACTCGCAATTTCATGAAAGTAATGATTTTGTGGAATTCTGTAGTAGAAGACTTTTGAATTTATAAGTATCTTCATATTATCATAATGTTGTCTATGACAAAATAATCTCCAAATATCTGATATTATTTTTGAAGTTGCATTTAAGGTATATGCTGTGAGCTGCTCAATTACATGTTTTGCCTGTAAAAGTCAAAGTAATGTTTGTGAAACTAATTTTTGAATGTTTTAATTTTCTTATTTTCAAATGTTGATAGTTGATATGCAAAAATATTGAATTATACACTGAAATGTTTGTCATGCTGTATAAAATTTATAGTCATCTTTTTGTACATAGTGTTATTTAGATTAGTTTGTCTGCTCTCATTAGCTGTAAAATATTATTTTAGATTTTACTATATGTATATTGTAATGGCTTCTCTTCTTAGAAGAAAATTTCCGCACATGTTGTATTGTTTGATATTTTCACACTTAAGGAATTGTAATCCTATTTTGTACAGTCAAAAGTTTAACCAGTTTCATGTAATAAATTGTGCATTAAACTAAATCCCTGTCATTTTTTATGATTTAAAAAAAAAGGTAAATTAAAGAACTTTAAAATACTATTGAAGTAAACGAACTATTTGACCACATTGCCTTTCTAAAACTATTTAATCAAAGATTTAAAAAAAAAAAAAAAAAAAAAAAAAAAAAAAAAAAAAAAAAAAAAAAGGAAATTACAAGAAAAAGGAAATTACAAGAAAAACACCTTGTTTGCAACCTTGTATCAAAATATATTTTGTTCTTAAATAGTTCTAAATATTACACTGAATTTTAGAGCGATTTTTGTGTTACATAATGACAGCATTGCGATTTTTAGAAAATATCACATGAGAAAAATTTTCAATATATGTTAATACGTTTCTGCTTTCTGTATGGCCAGTTTTAATGGTACATTAAATATTTCAATACAAGTCCAAAATTTAGAAAAAGAATAAATTAAATTAGATCTTAGCAAATTCTGTTATTGGCTTTCAAACTTTTCTAGCTATGCTACAGAATATTGACAGAGATGGATGACATATACAGTCAAAAGTCTTTAAATCTGGACTCGTCGGGACTTCGGCGATTCCAGATTATAGATCATCAATTTAAATCTGGTAAGATGGCATGCAGAAATTATAAAATTAAAAATATGAAACTGTAATTTATGAAATAAGAGTATCAAAATTTACAAAAAAAAGCTTAATATTTATTTTTAATATTTATTTGTTTACTTTATTAAACATTTCTTTCAACGCACGCATGCGTAAAGCATACATTACGCATAGTAAAAATTAGAAAATTGCAACCAGAAAACTATTTGATGTGTATCCGTGATATTTACAATGACGAAGAATTTGGTTTAAATAATATCAAAGACGGAATATATAGAGATGAAATACTACATAATAAAAACATCTGCTCTGAAGATAAGGATTGCGCTGCAACATCCCCTCCTCCCGCAGAGCAGCGTGAAATTGATAAACAGATTTCAGAATGGTTAGAGAAACAAAGGATATGCCTTTATCCATTTTTTTGCAGCAATTCCACTTTTTGTTTGATGGACATTGAAACATGCTTTTGCTTCGTAGATTCTTTGGCAGCTCCAGAATCGGAAATTCTTTTTGACATAATCGAAAGTTCAAGCTTACTTTTAGAAAATTGCTCTAACATTCTGCAAAAAATAATAAGCCGGATCCAATTTAAAGGTTAAGGAACAACGCAATCTGCAACATTAACTGAAATAGATAATTTTAGCCTAGCTTATACCGTCCATTATAAATTAAACGTGCATACGTAAACGTATTATGCGCATGCGTAAACACATGCGCAGAAAGTTTGTAGCTTTGAGGTCCAAATTATGGGCGTCCGGATTAAAGACTTTTGACTGTATGTATTTTTACTTGCAACTTCCATATTATGTAATTTAAATTTACTACTGAAAACAACAGAATTTCATTCTAAGCCAGTCTCTACTTCAAAAACAGAGTAATCAAATCTTATAACTAGTACTTTTTAAATTTATTTAAACCCAAAACAAATCAGCACATTTGTTTTTTTATTAAAAATATACCATTTATTAATATCTATTGAATATGCTATTGCAACTATTTGATGTATTTTTAACATACTATATTAAAAATTTTATATATGTACATCTTATTTACATAAATTTACTTTTTTGAAGATATTTCAGTAGCATAAAGTTGTTGATTCATTACATAAAATAATGAACCATGTAAATGAATCTTGATCTACCAGTTACAAGAAAATTTAAACATTGTTCATTTTCATGTATTTTTTAACTTTGTAATAATTTCCATTAACTTCTTTTGAGATTCACTGCTGATGCCAATTTCATTTAAGTCATTTTCTGTCAAATATTGAAAAGTATTCATGTCAACCTGTATATTAAAAAAAAAAAAGAAAGAAATATAATCAACAGTGAATTTTATCATGAAAATTATATAGTTATTCCCAACTTATGCAAGATATGACAAATTGTATGTAAATTTACAATAACATAAGGGTACAAAAGCTGCAATATTCAAATTTAAACCTACCACCCAAAAATAATATACCCTATAAAAATTGCTTCTTCCTACACTCATGTCCAAAATTATGTTTACATGCATAAATTCACGGATTTCTCAGAGACTATGACTTATAATTTAATGAATTTTCGTGGAATCATACATAACATGATGACACATAAATGCAAAAGAAAAAATTGAAGATCACCTCATATGATATAAAATTGTAGCATGAAACAATAAAAATGGTAATAAAGTGTGACAAAGAGAGTTAATTCTTTTCTTAATCATTCCTTTTTTTCTTAAGTCTTACGAATTTAATATGGAATATGGTCTCCCCTGACTTGTACACACATATCACAACGTGTTTTAAGGCTGGAAATAACGTTGTTAACCACAGTTTGGGGAATTAATCTCCACTCTTCCAGCAATGCCGTCTTCAGAGCATTTACATCTCTAGGAGGAGGATGTATACGTGCAATTGCTCTTCCAAGGTAGTCCCATAAGTTCTCTATCGAGTTAAGGTCAGGAGAGTTTGGTGGCCAAGGTATTCGCTTAATGTCTTCACTTTCAAGGAATTCATCAACGAGGTTTGCTCGAAGTGGACGGGCATTATCATCCATAAATAAAAAGTCAGATCCATATGCACCCCTGAAAAGTCTTACATAAGGATCTAAGACCTCATCTCGATATATCTGGCCTGTCACAGATCCGCTGCTGAACACGTGTAGAGGCGTACGTCCATCGATCATTATTCCACCCCATACCATCACACCTCCACTACCGAAACGGTCACATTCCACAATGTTCGAGAGATCATTTCGTGTTCCTGACTCCCTCCAGATGTAAACACGTTTAGAATCACCAGTTAAACTAAACCGCGACTCATCAGTAAAGAGAACATGGGACCTTTGATGTTCAGTCCAGTTTTGATGTTCTTTACACCAATTAAAGAGATCCCTCTTTTTCTGTGAAGACAGTAAAACACATACCGTTGGCTTTATGGCATAAATGCCTTTTTCATTAAGCCTTCTGTATATTGTTTGCCGTGATGCAACAGTTCCAGTGGCGGCTGCAAGCTCTGAACTTAACTGGCGAGCAGTAGCCTTTCTGTTAAGACGGGCAGTTAATGCCAGATACCGATCTTCAGAAGCAGTTGTCATTCGTTTCCGACCTTGTCCAGGCCTCCTTACAAACATTCCATCATTTTTGAAACTGTTTCCATAGCTAGAGACTGTCTGTCTTGAAATATTCAGACATGTGGCTGTTTCCATGATTGACTGCCCTGCTTCTAAAACGGGCCGATAATTCACCACTTTACAGATTCTTCCAAATGATATTCGAAGCCATAACAAAACCGCTTTGAGTCCCTACACACTGAAATCAAACGCTATGTTGCAGAAATTCACTCAAATATTCAATTTGCGCAAAGCGCTTGATTCACCCTTGGATGACGTAACGCCTAGATTTGCATATCACAAACCGTTTGATTACTTTTGATTGGATAATGCTAATTAGGCTTGGTTTTCACACATTCCCTGCAAATACGGATCACATTGATTCGATATTTCATTGAATATCATCATTTTTGGGTATGTAAAGATAATTTTGGACATGAGTGTATAAAGTATACTTCTTACATTTAAACAACATTTGTGCAATAGCTTTATCACTTGAAACCTTTAAGCTGCTTTCATACTGGTCCGTTGGAGTGTCAAGCGGCAAAGCGTAAAAAAAACGCTTTCCGCGTACGCCAGTTCACACAAGCGCGGCAACTTTAAAAGTTGTCATATACTTGCACTAGATAGCACTTCATATCGGAAACTTGGGGGAAAAATGTGAATTTTTTGTGTGGTATTTTGACATTTTACGATTACATTTTAAAATTAAAATGGTTTTAATTTCTGCTCGATTAAAACTTATTTTACTTCTTGCTTTGTGTAAGAGAAGCAGAATGCAGTGGTTTATATTAATATGTGAAAGATGACAGCAGTAAGGAGATCCAAGTAATTTAATTGAAGAAATACGTTTGAACAAAACAAAATTTTTTTAAATTACTTTCGCATGACACCTCATCAATTCGATGAATTTCTAGCGCTCACTGAACTATTTATTCAAAGGTAGAAAACTAATTTTTGTCAGAATATCGCAGAAAAGAATCGTTTGGAGCATAGGAATAGGATATCACAGAAAAGGATTTTTGTGTATATCAAATGCTGTATATATCTAATTTAATTTATTTATGAATTTTGTTGAATGATAATTAAAAAATCCTAATTATATGGTTCTTTTTTGGAGAGTAAATTTTTCATGTGGTAGAATACCATAAATGTTTTCGCATGATGTATGAACTTCCCTTAAATGCTTCCTTAAATAAACTTCCCATAATTGGTTTAAATAATGCATTAAAAATGTATATTTTTTTAAATATATGTAGGATTTACAGCATTACTAAATTAAATATCACACTTACAAAAAGCAGTTATTTTTAAGTTAATAAACAACATCAATTTTTTAAAAAAATATTTTAGTTTCCGCCTTATGTACATATTTTTACCTTAAACACAGTTAGTAGTTACTTCAATTAGTCATTCATATATGATTGAACAGCCACAATCTAAAGGTTTATTTTACAAGGTCACTTTTATCTAAAACTCATTGAAGAACTGCATTTTATATAATACTTCTTTTTCTGCGTTAAAAAGTGAATTCCACAATTAGCAAATTTGCTAATGCTCATGCAGAAGTTTTTTAAATTAAGGAAAAATTATCATCAAGATTAAACCTGTCGAAAAGTGGTCATGCATGTTAAGAAAAACAAACATGAAGCCATTAAAATGCATAGAAATATTATATGAAATCGGATACATACTAGCGAGCTTCTTTTCTGTGTAAATAACCAGTTTTCTTAATTTTTTTAAACAAATAGTTTACTCGTCACCACTTTAATTGTTTACACCATTTCTTACTTTTTTTCCCTTGTTTAAAATTCAGAACTCACTAAATTTTTAATTAGATGAAACAGCAGTTTTATACTAATACCAGTATTGCTTTTGCTAGTCTCATGTCAGCCAAAATAGAATCAGATCATAGTAGTCAGATCTTGTGAATTATACCAAAGGCTCGTTGTCAAAAGAAGGATAATGCACACAATGCCGAGCGAAAATTAGATTTGTATGAATGATGAATAAAATGAAAAATAAATGCAAGTTTCTTGTGTCACTCCCCCTCCCCCCAAAAAATTTTCAGTAGATTTAAAAAAAAAAAAAAAAAAAAAAAAGTGTATTTGTACCATCATCAAAAGTACGAAAAAGCAAGGCCTGAATCCACAATACAAGCCCCTAGTAAAAGCTGAATCTTTTACTTGAGCATGTTACCTCCGTGCTACGATACCTTGCAGGTAAGCATCATTTTTCAACACTTCACCTTCAGGAAACTGAAGAAGCATCTGGGCTACTGTGAAACTAGCCATAATATTTTCTTTAAATATATTTTTTTTAAAATACTAATTCTATTACAATATCACTCTGGTGACGCTTGAATCCAAAATCTTTAACTCAAGAAGCCAACGTTTTATCCACTAGGCAACAAGAGCAAACTTAAATTGATGTAGATATACAGTGGTGGCCAAAATTGTGGATACTTTTGGAATTTTTTATGTTTCTGAACTTTGCATGCTTATAGAAAATGTTACGTTTCACAAAATGCAAACTTGTATATATCATTTTAAAAAGAATTTATTACTGAATTCAATACAAAACACAAAAAAATTCATATTGCATACAAAAAAAAGTTAAACGATCATAGTTATCGATATACATTAGATAGTGATGATTGCAGTGAGTTATGAGTACTTAGTAGGGTACCCTTTATTTTTTATTACAGCTTCACATCGATGTTTCATTCAGCTGACAAGAGTTTTAAGCTCTTCTTTCGTTATTACATGATGCCAGGAAACAATTATAGCCTTAATTAGTTCCCCTTTACTTGATGGGCGCCTCATTCGGACAACAGTTTTCAAACGGTGCCACAAATTTTCGATAGGATTGAGGTCAGGACTGTTTCCTGGCCATGACAACAATTTAATGCTCTTTGTACGAAACTACTCTTTCGATATTTTGGCCGTGTGGCAAAGAGCAGAATCCTGCTGAAAAATAAAGGAAGCATTGTTGGGAAAGAGATCTCTGATCATAACACAGTAATATTACATCTCTTTCTAGGTGTCCAATCTACTCTTTTATTTGATGTCATTGCTTCTTGACTAAATATTAAAAATTTTTACAAAAATTCCTACTTGTAATTGCAGTGTATAATAAACAGGTCCTCCTTCTACAGAAAAGCAAAATAATGAATTGTTTCAAGTGTAAACATGATGTCAGCTTCTACTGGCAGTTACTAACATTTGATTGGTTCTCAGAACAAGAAAAGTGATTGGCCAGGAAAACTAGACATTACAAACCACTTCATAACAGTGTTTTTTATTTATATTAAAGTACATATAACTTTTTTTTGTATTGCAAATAATTGAATTTTGTGTTTGTATTGAATTAGTAATAAAATTCTCTTTAAAATTATATATACAAGTTTGCATTTTGCGAAACGTAACATTTTCTATAAACATACAAAGTTCAAAAACATAAAAATTTCCAAAAGTGTCCACAATTTTGGCCACCACTGTATTTTAAGAAAAATTCAGAATCTGGGATTTCGAAATCAATCACTATTTTCTCGCAATAATCTATTGCTTTAGGTTATTCTGTAAAAATTATCAACCATATATCATTTATGGTTGATTATTAAGGTTTATTACTACTAATAAACTTGAGAATTTTCCTTTATATAATTTATAAAGCTATTTATTCTATTAACGTATGCATTTTTTTTATTTAATCTGAAATTTTTATTAAGACTAATCCATTTGACCTTTTTTTTTTTCCATCAAGAAGAATTTTTGAAAGTGCAATCATTTCAAAACCCTGGTATAAACTGGACGTTTGATACGAGATGCCTGAAACTGACACGTAAAAAAGTTAAAGTTGAGTCAACTCACGCAGTCTCTGGCCATCCGGCAAATACCGCCTCTGAACTTGCTTCTGATTGGTTAATACTTTACGTGCAAACGTATAACCGAACCATTGGGTGTTTACCTCTGAAATGGACACAAAATGCAAAACCAAATACACTAAAGCTGCAAAGGACTGAATTAAAAGTTTTAGATAAAAAAAAAAATAATTAATAGATTATCCTATCTGAGGAAAAATGTGTAGGGCCTATAATTGTGTCTGTAAACAAGAAGTGAAAATATTTAAGCCTGAGCTATAAATCAAACTTTTTTCATGAAATTGGAAAAAATGTAACAAGTGATGTGAACAATTAAATTAAAGAATGATAAAAAATAAAAAGAATACTAATGAACTATAAATCGCCTATTTGTTTAATGTTTCAAACAGAACTTTCCAAGGGGTTAGGATTTAAAACATGTTTAATATTTAAATATTCTTTTTATAGCATTCTTTAATTGTTTACACCGTTAGTTTGGTTTACATCTCAGGCATCAGTTTTCAGTTCAGAGCTGGGTTCGAAGTATTGAGGGATCTTCATTTTAGCTTCGCTGTTTAGATGTGTTTTGCATTGCATTGTGTTTAACGTTCTTAGTAGTTTGAAGTGGTAATTACTAATTGTACTCTGTGATACTGAGAAGAGTTGCAGAAGTATTTTTGTCTAAAGTTCCTTTTGGTAAAATAAATTTTATGAAGATATCACCAGTTCTATGTGCATTCAATCCAGGAAAAAACTGTACACCTGCAACAATGCCCCCCCCCCAAAAAAGGGCCAAGTAGTATGGTTTTAAAAGAAAAGCACCTCTTGTCAAAATTGTTCTAATACTGGCAGATTTTTTAAAATATCCTCTTCCTTTCCAGTGCTAAGCTCATTTCTTTTTTCCATATCCTTGAAGAAATTCTGGATTCATTGATAATATTTCATGGAAGTTTTATGGTTCTTGTTCTTCAATTTGTGTTGTCTCTGTTACCAGTTACGTATTTTTAAATTCTATGCACATACAAAAGTTAATTCACACTCAGAATGCATGGAAATGTCAGATGAGCAAAATTAAAGACCATTTCCTAAATTTACCCAAAATTAACGACTTTTAAGCAATAAGAATTGTTTGGGAAACACATAAGACTTTGAAGGACTTTACAAACTTTCCCATAGGAAAATATCTTTTTCATAACAACTAAAGAGTAATATGCATGCTCTAACTCATTTGCAAAATATATTTGATATCCTTACAGAAAGAATCGTAGTAGTTTTTTTATGATACTCAGCTTATGGTCCAGCAAAACAAGACCATTCCTCCAACTACAAACACCATTAAAAATAAGTTAACCATAAAAAATGTATCTTTTAGAGAAGCATTAGGTCTCATCAGTCTTCTTCAAATTGCATTTAACTAACCACAAATAATAAAAATTGTTGAAATTGCCAAAAATTTTTTTAAAAAATTATAAAAAGAAAAAGGAAAGGAAATATTCCCCCCCAAAAAAATTTAGATAAAAATTTATATAAATAACAAATGAGACTATCTACTTTTTATAGTAAAACATACCTCTTGCTCTCGGAATTTGTCCACATATTGTCTAAGTGATAATTTGTTTAGCACATCAGTTAAACTACCTGGAAAATTAAAGAAACACAAGGTGAAACAAATTTATATATATATATATATATGAAGGATGTCAGTGCTTTTAGTATATTTTTTAAATAAATTATTTGTTCAACCAATTGATTAAATTTGAAGCCATTTTAAATTAATCCTTAAAATTGCAGCTTAAGGTATTCTGCAGTATTTTTAGAGATTTTAAATACTGGATATAAAAGATAGAAAGGAGTAAATTTTTAGAGAAGTAAAACTGTTTTAAAGATATTATAAACAAATTATGTTATTTCCATGGAGGTAGGAAGTAAGATAAAGTGGCCCTAAACAGGTTTCTCCCGTACCCTGCTCTGAAGCACTGGCGATCCCTACGTGGTGACCAAAACATTGGGTCATTTACCATTAAGTTCAATGGGTTTTGACGCGATTGGATGTAAATATTTTGTAATGACGTCGAAAATATACATATAAATGTATATATTTTCTTTTTCTACAACACTTCAGAGTCCTAAGTATGTGAAAAGAATACATTTTTAAATATTTCATTCTGAACTGGAATTAAATGCTATACTTTTCACAGAACAGTTTCTCAGAATGGTTTAATTTGAATGAAAGTATTTTCTCACAAGTTTTCGTTAATTACACTTAGAAAAAAAATTAAGGTAATTCGAATTTATTCGGTTAAGGTTACAAAAATTAAGATCAAAGTTTATTGTATTATTAATATTAAAATTATGCATTATTTCTTTTCTATTTATAGAGCTTCTTTCTAAAATACTTTCTTAAATATGACATGATTTTTTGGCTTCTGAGGCATCTTTTAAATGGAAAAATATAAGTCAATTTATAATTAATGCTCTATTCAGTTCATTTTAAATTAGAGACTTATTAGAAATTAGCGAAATACTTTAAATAGAACTTAACTTTCTCTGAACATTTCTGAAAGGGAATAAAATAAGGATTTTATTTTTAATTAACTCAAATGAGTAAAACGTGTAAGCCCAAAGTGATTATTTTTCAGATATATACAATTAAAACAATGAGTTTAAAATGAGCAGCAGTAAAGCCTCTCCTCTAAAAAATTTTAAGAGGTACATGTTACAATAATATATGGATGTGAAAAAAATTTATTTTATTTAAAACATTTTGGCATTTGAAACATAAAATAAAAGTAGCGAATACTCTATTAAGGGTATCGAAAAACGTATACAATTTTAAAGGTACCGTAAGGTATTTTTCATTCTTTAAGCATAACATTTATGTTAAAATCTATATTTTTGTAGTTCAACAGCTTAGAATTTTATAAAACAAATTCATAATTCAAATTTATAAACAAATTCATATCAATTCATAATCAGTTTATAACAAATCGCTGTTGTTAGTTATCGAAAAATAACCAAGATGTGATTTTTGCATAAATGTCACTAAACTATACAAATCCATCACACTATGAATGTTTCTTTCATGCGAAAGTGTCCCTTTTTCGATTTGTATGGAACTGTCGTGTGTCGAAATACCATCAGAACACTGTCAAGCGAGCTTCTGAATGTAAACAAAGAACACCCCATCTGGTGACCGAAGCTTCGAAGCAGTGCTTCACTTCTAGTGCCAGTTGGCCACTCCTTTACTTTCTTACCTCCATGGTTATTTCAGTACAATAAAAGGTGTCACTTCCATGTCTGTCTAATCTCAAATGTAAATCTGATGATGATTCCCCCCCCCCCCCCCGAGTCAAAACACAAGGTACATGATCTATGTGAATACAGTCAAAAGTCGTTAATTCGGACACCCATAATTCGGAATGATCTATAATCCGGACCTCAAAGCTAAAAACTTTCTGCGCATGCGCCGCATTGACACATGCGCATAGGCGTTTACGCGTGCGCGTAAGACTTCTTACGACTGCGCATTTGCGTGTGCGCAAGTGCGGAATACGTTTTCGCGTACGCGTTTTATGTATAACGGACGGTATAATCTAAAATTACCTAATTATCTATTTCAGTTAATGTTGATGATTGCGTTGTTCCTTAATTTTCGAATTTAATCCGGCTTATTATTTTTTGCAGACTGTAAGAGCAGTACTATAAAAGTAAACTTGAACTTTCGATTATGTCAAATAGAATTTTTGATTCTGGAGCTCCCAAAGGATCGTACAAAACGAAAGTATGTTTCGATGTCCATCAAACAAAAAGTGGAATTGCTGCAAAAAATGGATAAAGACATGAAGAATGTGACAGAGAGGTTAGTGAAAACGAAAAAATTTTGATTGACAAGTTAGTCGGTATTCTCGGCACAGCAATTAACGGGACTTGAACAGCGGAACATTGTAAGTGAACAAAAAATTATGTCTGTTTATAGAATTAAAGAGAATGTATTATCACATAAAAAACGAAACAACTTACAATGAAAGAAATGTTTAATAAAGTAAACAAATAAATATTAAGCTTTTTTTTTTTGTAAATTTTGATACCCTTTAGATCAATTTGTTCTTTATTTCATAAATTACGGTTTCATATTTTTAATTTTAGAATTTCTGCATGCCATCTTACACGATTTAAACTGATGATCTATAATCCGGAAACGCCGAAGTCCCGAAAAGTCCGGATTAACGACTTGTCCTTTTGACTGTATATAGCAAAAACAACATATTCTTAAAAATATAAAATAGATCTTCAAGTAGATCCAATTTTTATGCTACAAGTGTATCATTCTGTTGAATAGAAAGCCTTTATTTCATAAAATTTATAGAAATCCTACATCCTGGATAGTACGACCTCATCTAAAATTTGTTTTAGTGGTAAATTATTAAATATGCAGATGAAGAACAAAACAAGAAATTCTGTAATGTGTTAGTCCAACATTATGCATGATGCTAGATGAATGGTTTATATCCACAATCAATTAATAATCTGGATATGTGTTTTTTCAATAAATGGAACTGAACATTTAGTGAAAATAACTGATCAACCCACATACATATGAAATTTTACTTATTCTTCCTCATGATGCCATTAAAAGAGGTGAAAACAAATTTTAATGTAAAATTTTTAGCTTTGTAATCAGTAGTATAAACAAGATAAGGCAAAAAAATAGAGAAATAGAAAATTTTCAGTTTATACCTCATGGTTGTTCAGTTTCTGCATACAATTTATTGGTAAAAGATTTAAGTATGTCTAATGCTACTAAGCATGTTATTCACAAAACAGCAAGTCACAAAATATTTTTGAATTTGCCAGCTTGTTGAAGGCAAATTTAATTAAATGGTTTAAATATACCATCTGAAGTATGCTGGAACAGAGTAATTTTTATTTAAATTAAGGAAGAGAACCGAGATGCAGTAGACAAGAGTATTCAGCTAAAAGTTCTAAAAAATGTGTGTCAAACAAAATATATAAAGGATCCCTTATTTTGTATTACAATTTTAAAAATACCCCAACAGCAAGAAAAAATTAATGCAGAGTAATGAAATGTCGGCAATACATTTGTTTAAGTAACATATTTAATTGATTAAATTTTCGAGATCACAGGAAGTCAACTTGTGAGATTTATCTATTTATTTTTACCTAATAGTTCATTTTTAAGTTGAAAATCCTTTCCTATCACTCTGTTTACAGCCACGCTTTTCATGCCAGAATGTAAATGAGATAGCGAGAGTTTATTTCAGATTAAGGTAGAATGAAGTGCTATTTGAGCAAGAGTTTCGAAGTTAGTTTTAAAGTGTCTGCCTATTCCAGGTCACGTTGTGCTGTGATTATTGGCAACTTGTGTTAGGGGCGTTGATGTGTTCTCACCTTTAGGCTTGTCTCGCCGGTTACTATAGACCAGAACTCTGCCCATGCCTTAAAGCATTCTGTGAGCCGTTAGGCTAACTTACCACACCCTGAAATAATTATTTGTTATGTATTTCTGTTTAGGCCAGAAGTTTTGGCTTCCTGTAACCCAAGTTGGGTCATTTGTTAATTTTATGCTTGAATAAAGGGTCTTATACACCTTTCTTCTGATCTCTGCTTTAGTTTCACAAAGGCTAGAAGGTAATTTTTCAAAACTCTTTTTAAACGCTTATGTTCTGAAAACGCCATAGACAAACTATTTTGAAAAAAAAATCATTTAAATTGTATATATATGTGCCATTCCTATAGTTATTTATATTCTGATTTTTTATTTGTATTCATATAAAAGATATAACTGTAAGTTTTATTTGTTTGTTTTGTTGTGTTTATTTCTTAGTACAGTCAAAAGTCGTGAATTCGGACACCCATAATCCGGACCTCAAAGCTAAGAACTTTCTGCACATGCACACAGGCGTTTTACGCGTGCGCGTAAGACCTTGACTACTGTGCATATGCGTCTGCGCAAGTGCAGAATACGTTTTCGCCTGCGCATTTAATGTATAACGGATGGTGTAAGCTAAAATTATCTAATTATCTATTTCAGTTAATGTTAATGATTGCATTGCTCCTTAATCTTCGAATTGGATCCCGCTTATTATTTTTTGCAGACTGTAAGAGCAATTTTATAAAAGTAAACTTGAACTTTCGATTATGTCAAATAGAATTTCCGATGCTGAAACTTCCAAAGGATCTACAAAATGAAAGTATCTTTCGATGTCCAACAAACAAAAAGTGGAATTGCTGCAAAAAATGGATAAAGACATGAAGAATGTGACATAGAGGTTAGTGAAAACGAAAAAATTTCGATTGACAAGTTAGTCGGTATTCTTGGCACAGCAATTAACGGGACTTGAACAGCGGAACTTTGTAACTGAACAAGAAATTATGTCTGTTTATAGAATTAAAGAGAAAGTATGATCACATAAAACGAAGCAACTTAAACAACTTACATTGAAAGAAATGTTTAATAAAGTAAACAAATAAATATTAAGCTTTTTTTTGTTTTGTAAATTTTGATACCCTTTAGATCATAATTGTTCTTTATTTCATAAATTACAGTTTCATATTTTTAATTTTAGAATTTCTGCATGCCATATTACGAGATTTAAACTGATGATCTATAATCCGGAATCGCCGAAGTCCCGACGAGTCCGGATTAACGACTTTTGACTGTATGTATGTATACTTCAGGTTACATTTAAGTGCTTATATGTGACTTTGGAATTTGCAAGTTGCTAATGCCAAAATATTTTTATGCTACTATTTATTAATTTTTTTAAATCAAGTAATCCAGTTTTTTCCTATTTAAAAAAAAAAAAAATTCATACTTCCCACCCAGGCATCCGAGTGTAGATAAACAAATCTGCAACATGAGTAGTAATATATTTTTTTTTATATATATTTATAGTAATTTTGAATTTTGCATACATACATAAAACTCAAATACATTTTTACCTTTATTGCAAGATTATCCAGTAGTAAATCATGAAAACTTATATTACCTAGTTGCATGCTTAATTTGTAAGTGTTTAATTGTTTTCTTTTTATTTTAAATTAAAAATTTTGGCTGCAAGTAAAAAATGAAAATGAAATCTTGATAAAATAATATCCACATAATAATTTGGAATCTGTCTAAACAAAAATTATCCAGGTTCTACAGAAACATAAACATTTTACATTTTGAATACAATTTTCATAAACAACGACTTAATAAAACTTCTCTGTCTATGACTCACCTGCAAGTAAATCTTCATCTTCTGTTTTGGGTTCCAGAGACTTTCAATAATAATAAAAAAGTGATTTAGACTTTAAAATAAATAAATAAATAAAGATTAAGATACATCACGAATATGAATATCACTTTATAATAAATACGAATAATAATAACGAATAAGAATCTTTAGATACATCTGGAAAAAATGTAAACTTTATGAACTATATGAATAACCTTTTAAAAATATTTTACCATTTTAAGGTCATATGATATGATAAATATAAAACACAATGTATTGATTTATTTTCCAATTTTTCACTCATCAATTTTTTGTAGAATTTTGCTTTGAATTAAAAATCTACATATAAAACACATCTTCTCATTCATTTCTCTAGAAATTCAAACCCACCCCAATGGTCCCTTTGCCTGATGTCAGTGGGATGAGAGTATGTCCCTATCTCTCTTCACATTAACTAGCACCAAGAATCGTTTGTCCGACTAAAACAATTCTCAATGAGATTGCCAGTCTGTGTGTTTTCTATGCCATTGTAAATGGTGCTGCCAATGGGCTGCTGTCAAAGGTATGCAGCATTCAGGACATCAGGTGACTACGCCCCTTTTATGATGTCAAATGGCCAAAGTAAACTGAGACCCCTGTGTACCCCAGATGTCCTAATTTACTGTAGCCATGTGGAACTGCTCAGCAATGTTACCATACACAACTGCTGAGCAATGCTGCCTGCTGTCTAGTTTCGATCTCATTCTACCTGCAAGGTGATGTATCAGTCAGTGGATGGCCAGTAATCAGTTAGTGGATGGCCAGGAAACAAAAAGTGTTTCCTGGCCATCCACTAACAACCTTTCTAATAGCTGTACCTGTCATCATGCTTTCCAAGCTCACGAAACAACACTTTTATCAATTTCAAACACTTGGGTGACAGACATCAAAGTCCGCCCCTCTTCTAGTTTGCCAGTTATTTTACCACGTGTAAAGGGATCCTGATGTTTTCTTGTAGCCATGTCGCATACACAATCTCACTTTTGCCAGCAGAAGAATGGCTGGAAATGTGCAATCCTTTGTTCTTTTAAAGTTGTCTTACACTGGGTGCACAATTCGAGTTTCGCATATCCTGACATACTCTATGATATTTGCATATGCATCACCTTTCTACTGCGTTGGCTTTTCACTCTCTGAACGCTAATGCCCTTTTCAACAATTCTGTGATTGTATATTGCAAAATAAATTTGTTACTTAAACTTTGCACACTAGTGTATATGCATGCTATTTTTTAAATATGATGTATGCATATATATCGTATTTTCTGGCATATAACGCACATCTAAAATTTCAAGCTACATTTTTTAATTTTTAGGTATATTTGGCATATAATGCATACCCAATTCCTCACGAAGAAACCTTAAAGATACATGTGCAATGCTCTTATGTTTTCAGGTCGAATGAAAATCAAAGGCTTTAGTAAATTGCACTTGCATTAGTTGAAATACAATTGATCTAGTGTTTTAGTAGTAAATATGGCTCCCGCGAAAAGAAACAAACACAGTTCTGGTTTCAAATGCAAAGCCATTCATTTTGCGAATAAAAAGGGAAATCATGCTGCAGCAAGGATATTTGGTCCTGGTGAAAGCTTCATGTGTGAGTGGAAGAAAAATTATGTCACAATAATTAATATGCAAAAGAATAAATGTGCTTTGCATAAAGGAGTAACGTAATGGCCTTTCCTAGAAGAAAGTGCTAAGAATTGGGTTTTAGAAAAGAGCTAGAATGGATTAATTGTACCAAGAAATAGTACAAAGTGAGCCATAAAAAATGGAAATGAAAGTGGAAACCTTAAAGCAACTTGAAGTTGGTGTAGTGGATTTATGGCATGGAATAATTTAGTTCTACGAGAAAAAAAAAAAAAAAAAAAAAAAAAAAAAAAAGTTTCAAAAAGCCTTCCAAAAGGTTTGGATACTAAATTGACTAGTTTTCAGAAATATATTATTGACCTATGAGGGCAAAAAAATTATTTACTGACACATACTGGAAATATGGATAAAACTCCTGTAATGTTTGGTATGGTAGGAAATAAAACAATTGATGTGAAAGGAACAAAAACGGTTCACATAACAACAGGTCACGAAAGATTTCACTTCACTGTAGTGCCTTCCTACGTAGCAGACAGTTCAAAATTAAAACCCATGGTTATTTTTAAAAGAAAGATGATGCCAAAATGTAATTTCCCAAATGGTGTTTTCATTCGTGTTCACGAGAAAAGATAGATGGACAAAAAGAATATGAAATTGTGGATAAGAAATTTTTCGCAAAAGCGTTCTTTTACCTTAAAGAATCCAGAAAGTCTTTTAGGTCTTATCTAACAGATAATACGAAGAAATTATTGAAAGAGCATAATACAGACATGGCATTTATTCCAGGCAGATTAATGCCATTAGTTCAGCCTTTAGATGCGTGTATCAATTAATCATTCAAAGAAAAATTAAAACGAAAGTGAAATACGTAGATGTTACAAGGTGAAAAAACATTTACAAAAGGAGGCCAAATGTGTTATGTCTGTTTAGAAACAGTGTGCGAGTGTATAATAAAAGCATGGAATGAAATTAAAACCAGACATAATTCACGGCAAACAGAAGATAATTATCTATTTAAGGATCAGCATAACAGTGATTGAGAAGATGAAACAGAATTCGATGATGTGCCTGAAGACAAATATAATGAACTTTTCATGTTATCTGATAAAGAAAATTTTTAAGTTCATTAGGTATGTCATCTCATTTAAATAAACAGCATTTAGATACATATAAAAACCTTGTACAGATATTAGGATTTTTTGAAGCTGGGAGACATGAAAAATGAGCAATGCTCTCGCCGGGAATCGAATACGCGCCGAGAGTGCTGACCACTAAATTATGAAGGCATGCCAAGAAGGTGGGAGAAATACCTTATATAGTTCCCCTTTTAAAGGGTGACTGCGGATTAGGGGACCCGATCGCCAAATCCTGAGGGTGGAGAATTATCATCCACTACCCTTTTAGTTCAGGCGCCACTGTAGAAACATTAGGTATTTTTTTTTTGAAGCATGAAAGATAAAAAATGAGCAACACCTCTGCCAGGAATCGAACCACAGACCTCTGGAATATGCGCCCAGCGTGCTGACCACTACACTACAAAGGCATGCTAAGAAGGTGAGAGAAATACCTTATATAATGCCCCCAGCGTGCAGACCATTAGGAGAAATACCTTATATACTCTCACTTTTAAAGGGCGATTGGGGTTTTTAGGAGACCCAATCACCAAATCCTGGGTGTGGAGAATCATCATCCACCACCCTTTTTGTTTGGGTGCCACTATAGAGACATTAGGCATTTTTTGGGGGGGGTAAGCATGAAAGATGAAAAATGAGCAATGCCCTCGTCGGGAATCCAAGCAGGGACCTCTTGAATACGTGCTCACTACTACACTATGACAGCATGCTAAGAAGGGTGGGAGAAATACCATATAATCTTATTCAAAGGGGGCAATTTGCCCTGAAGGACTATTATTTTCATTTTGGCATTTTGCGTAGGCTCACTATAAATGTCCGATTCACTTTTCAAATTGTTGCCACCAAATATTAGTGCCCTATATTATATTTAAAGAAATTAAATAATGAAGAATCTGCAACTGAATGTATGTTTCGCGCATTGTAATTAAGCAATTGTATCTAGAGCCACCCAATTTTGAATAACGTACGTTTCCACCCAAACATGGGCATCTGGAAGCCCAAATTTGGAATTTGTTTCATTATCTATTTCATATTTTGTAAAACTTCAACGAGTTTTTGATTAACAAACTCAACGATTTAAAAGGGAGTAATGGCAACACTCTACGGGGAAAACAAACCTATTTATCTCCAGCGCACGAAACTGGAAGGAGAGGCTCGGTGTGGTCATCAAGCTATAAGTAATTCTGAAGTTAAAATTACTTGTGGAGGTTCAATATTTATGTAAGCCACATCATATTTGTTTTTAGCAAATATACGATTATAGTTATTTAACAATTTTTGCATATGATCATCATCAATTTCACTATTTTCAGCATAATTATCAAATTTCTTAGTTCTTACACTATTATTACATACAAAATTGTTTTGAAAAAGTTTATCTAATTGAATAGCTTTACTTATGATATGTTTAAATTGATATACTTCATAATTATTAAAACTCAATTTCAAAAATTGTGAAGTAATCATATATTTGCTAAAAACAAATATGATGTGGATTATGCTAATATTGAACCTCCACGAGTAATTTTAACTTCAGAATTACCTATAACGTGTATATCATACTCAGCCTTCCCAAAGATAATAGTGAAATTAGAAGAAAAATAGATGAATTTAGGGGAAGAACACCAAATCTAGAATACTAGTTAATTTTGAGGTCGCCAATCATTCTTAAAGCAGCTATCGAATTTTTTATATCTTACATATATATACATGTATGAGATAAAGGTAATGCATAAAATTTAAGTAAGATAATACATGTATGATTTTATATTGAAATATATATTAATATAACTATAAAACAGAAAGTTATTTTTCATCAATATTTTATATTTTAGACACATAGCAATTAGAATAATATGATCTTCAGGATTTGCAGAAGAAACAATATAACCAATTTTTAAGGTATAACTATATAACTATTAATATGAAAATTTAAAGGAAGAAATAATATGACTGAACTTTAGAAAAATCAGCAGTTATTTCAAATCATTTAGTAATTAAAGGAACTGAAAAAATTGATTTGGAAACAGCTATAAAATTTATTTTTCTCTTTTCCCAGATTTTCTAATTATAATACAGTCAAAAGTCGTTAATTCGGACACCCATAATCCGGACCTCAAAGCTCGCATAGGCGTTTACGTGTGCGCGTAAGACCTTTACGGCTGCGAATATGCATGTGTGCATGCGCATAATACGTTTACGCATGCGCATTTAATGTATAATGGACGGTATAAGCTAAGCTAAAATTATCTAATTCAGTTAATGTTGCAGATTGCGGTGTTCCTTAATCTTCGAATTGGATCCGGCTTATTATTTTTTGCAGACTGTTAGAGCAATTTTATAAAAGTAAACTTGAACTTTTGATTATTTCAAATAGAATTTCCGATATATATTTACTATTTACTAACATGTAAAGGATCTATCTAATCTGCTCTGCGGGGGGGGGGGCGCAATGAATTGGAAGTTGATCTGTCAGCACTATCCTTATCTTCAGGGCAGATGTTTTTATTTTATTTGGCTTATAATTCCTTACTAAATGTAGTACTTCATTTCGATGTATCCGTCTTTGATATGATTTAAATCAAGTTCCTCGTCATTATAATTCGCTTCCGATAGCGAAGAAAGTGACACAGAGGTTATTGAAAACGAAAAAATTTCGATTGACAAATTAGTCAGTATTCTCGACACAGCAATTATAGGACTTGAACAGCGGAACTTTGTAACTAAACAAGAAATTATGTCTGTTTAATAGAATTAAAGAGAAAGTATTATCACATGAAACAAAGCAACTTAAACAACTTACATTGAAAGAAATGTTTAATAAAGTAAACAAATAAATATTAAGCTTTTTCTTTTTGTAATTTTTGATACCCTTTACATCATAATTGCTCTTTATTTCATAAATTACTGTTTCATATTTTTAATTTGTAATTTCTGCATGCCATCTTACCAGATTTAAATTGACGATCTATAATCCGGAATCGCCGAAGTCCCGACGAGTCCGGATTAACGACTTCTGACTGTAGTAGTAGAAATAATAATAACAAAGCAAAATATAACATCAGTAATGAGGAATCACTGTAATAAACTGTGGCTTCCTATATTGAATATAGTGGAGCTTCTGATCCTAAGCATCTAGCATAATGAATAAATAAGTTCACAAACAAATTAACTGAACAAGAACTTGTCTGATGAACTGTGCCTCGAGTTACAAACACTCAGGTCAGGAACAAATGATTTTAATATTGTTTTGAGATAATTTTTGACACAGAATCAACATTCAGGGACTTCTAGAAATATCATTTTAATGTTTCCTATTGCTTAACTCTCATTAATAAATTAAGGCAGCAAGTGACTTCCAGGATCATGAAATCACGGCCAGATAGTGTTGCATTGCAGAGATTTTGAGGGCTTTGATCAATTTTATGCTATCTATAATATTAAGTCTGTAGGCAAAACCATAGGCTTGGAAATTAACAATGAAGATATGGAAAAGTTACTAGTGGACCAATAAAAATGAGCTCAACAAGAAAGAGTTGAAACAACTTTAGAAGCAGCAATGAAGGTTGACTGAAGAAAAAGTGCCTTCAGAGGATGAGGAAGAAAGAGAGATAAATTTAGTTATTAGATATTGAAAATTTGTGCAAAATGGAGTAAGATAAAAAGTTTCATGGAACGATGTAACTCTGATAAAGCAACAAATATTAACTACAGCATGAGTGTTTTTAATGGTAAAGCTCTGTCTCAATTTAGAAATATTTTACAACGTAGACAAATGCTTTTGGACAAATTTTGAGTGAAATGCGGGCTCAGCAAATCTCAAGCAAAGTTGAGTGGGGCTATGAAAACAAAGGAAAAGATAAAAGAAGTTGCCCAAAGACAATTACATGGTGTTCTTACAGAAGAGAACTCCTTATTCAAACAATATCCTCCTTCTCATCATGTTCCACTTAGGTTGTTCACTCATTTACATACAGGTACGTAAAATTAAATTAAATTTTCCTCTATTTTATCTCTTTTATATTGTATTTACTTTTTCTTATCTTAGAATGAAAGATTTCTATTGGTTTTGAATTATGAATTCGTGCAGATGGTAACATTCTAAATTTTAAATAAGCTATCATCTATGGTCGAGGAATGGTTTAATCCATTTTACATAAATTCCAGTGGGGGAAAATAGTTTTGGTTTATGAACATTCCAGATGACAAATGGCCTTCAAGAAAAAATTAAATTTGTCAAACGAAGTTTCACTGTACAGTCATATGAAAGTACAATAATAATCAAAATTAAGTAAATATATTTAGTTGATATATGAAATGTAAACATACATATTATAGAAGTACTCCTTCCCTTATTCCTTAATGCTGTTTTTTACTTAAATAAAAAGTTTTAATTACTTCAAAATGATTTTCTATGCAGCATTTATAGATACTAATAAATCATCTGAGTTATCAACTACATTTTGTGCTGATATAAATATTTACATCTCTTTTCTCATGATAATTAAAAGGAAAAAAAATCATTTATTTCAAAATACTGAAGTTTATTCCTTTTAACAGAAAGAAATTACAACTTACTGCTATAAAAGCTCATTCATAACATGGATTTAAATATTAAATTTTACTATGAAAACTTCAGAATCCAAAAATATTAATTATTAACAAGGAAGGCCATTCTTACCTAAGAACTTTATTTTGAGGAGGAAAATGATTACTTACATTACAATTTTGGCCTCGAAGTTATTTATCTATAAGCTTACAATGGTAAACTGGAGTTTCACGCTGAACATTATGCACAGACAATTTTTGATTATAAAACTCAACTTTTTTCACAAAAGCCTAACTTTTTATACCAAAGTCAAACTTACCCCTTTTTTAAGGAGGGGGGGGGAAGCCTGACTGTGATTTATTTTTGCTATTGATTATATTATACACATTAAGAATAATTGTAGCAGTATATTCTGTTATAAGATTTTTTAATTAGCTAAAAGAGAAACATCATTTTAACATTGAACTAATATGCACAGCTTTAGAATATATAACTAAAAATATTTTATAATTTTTGTTAAAAATTTACAGTAGAATATACTTTTTAAAATGTGTTCTTACTTTTGGCTTTAATCCAGGATCTGAACTTGAATTACATTCTCTTGACACATCAAAATATTTAGGTAAACCCAAACTATAAAAATAAAACTTTTATTTATTGGGAAAAAAAGTAAATTAAAACAGCTTTCATATTTTAAGATACTTATATAGTTAAAATTAATTTAGTATAACCTCCTATGAATATCTAAAATTTAGGAATGCCAGATTACAATAATCACAAATGAATTGACAAAAATGAAATGTTGCAATCTCTGAAAATCTTATACTCATTTTCAACCTTACACTCATTCATCATCTTATATTCTTACTAACTCTAATATGTGAACTACTAAATGTATTGAAAGCACTATTTCCAGCTTTATTTCACTTCACAGCAAAGCAAGATGTGTATTTTCTGATTATCTGATTTCAGCATTCAGTAAAATTTCTGCATTTTTGGTATATTTTCGAGTCTATAGGTGACAATAGCCAACAACACATGCTCAAATTGTATGCGTATACGTACACACAAATTCATGGTACATACTGTGGTGAATAGTACCTCCCGGCTGTAAAAATTTAAATATTGGGCTTTTTTTTTTTTTTTTTTTTTTTTTTTAAGCCCAAAGGGCTATTGATTTTGTTTTGGCATTTTGCATTGAAAACTTTAAATGTTGGTTCGCTTTTCAAATTGTTGCCACCAAATATTATCGCCCTGTGTTATATTCAAATAAATTAAACAATGAAGAATCTACAGAAATGTGTGTTTCTTGCATCATATAAAACAATGGTACCTAAAGCCATCAAATTTTGAATAACGTAATCTTCCACTGAATATGGGCATCTGGAAGCCCTAATTTGGAATTTGAAATTAATTCTATTATCGATTTCATATTTTGTAACACTTCAACGAAATTTTGAATTAAAACTCCACTATTTCAAAGCGAGCAATGACAAAACTGCACGGGAGAAAAAAAAAATTTTTTTTAGCTCCTGGTAATTTCATTTGTGCCTTTGGAGACTATGTATCAGAAATTCTAAAGACGCTCATTTTAAAATTATTTCACAATATTGCTGTTGAATCGGATTTTATGGTTTAAATGCAAAGAACATTTAATAAATAAAGGTAACACACAAAAGGTTAAAACAGATTCTTCGGGCATAATGTAAAATCTGAAAGCTTTCAGATTTTGCATTGAAAACTAATTCTTAAATGTTAATTTCTAGGGGTACCACTTTATTGGAATTACTTTTGGTTTTGACTTTTACCCTTGCCTGCATGAATGATGAAACACGAATTGAATGATTGAAGAGTTAGGTTTGGAGGCAACTTCCCCTTGCTAAGTCTGTCTCCTGCCTACTCAACGGTCATTCACATATGCATCTTTTTAAAAAAAATTGTTTAATTTAATTTTAATTTATTAAATTAGTAAATTTATTTTCATGGATTGATTTTGCACTTGATTTGCTTATGCTTCTGAATTTAAATGATATTGTAGATTAGTTCGAGAATTAAATCTTTTACATGTTTGCACATTTTTTTAAAAATTATTTTGGCTTTTTTCCTTTCTTTACAATTTAAATTTGCTTTTTTACTTTTATACGTATTTGTTAAAAATTAAATTTAAATTTGTTTAAATATATATATATAGCTTTGTAAAACTTTGTAAAACTACAAGCTTTGTAAAACTTGTAAGGCTAATGCTACTCCACTTCCCACCAATACTAATAAGACACAATCACTATGAAAGACTTTCAATTGTATCTACCAAATCACCTGTAAAGAATGTTCTCTCACATATATAGGTCAGACTAAAAACCCTCTCAACCTCAGAATTAATAACCATAGATCTCATATTAAAAAATTTAAAAATAATAGCAATAATCTCACAAAAAATAATCAGCATACAGCTATTCTCAAGCATTATAATATGCATAATTTTGATAACATAGAAATTACTGTGCTTGATTTTGTACCGAATACTAAAATTAGACTTTTTAAGGAATCCTTATACATACTTCAAAAAAAGTCACTTTACCCTTACGGACTGAATGCTTATCTGAGTCATACCACCAACAGACAGACAGAAGTCTCAATATATGGACAATTCAGATTTTTTAGCAGTATTACGACCAGAGGTACCAGAGGAGGTGATTCCAAACACAAAAAATTTTTTTCTCTACAACGATCTGAAATTAATAGTTAAAAATCTTCATTCCTTCCTTGAACATAATGAATTTGCTAAGAATGCCATAAAACTTGTACATACATTTAAGAATGTTACCTTTGTGGAATCTGAATTAAAGTCGTGGAAATGAAAATTTTAGCTGTTTTACAAATCATAAAAGAGCTAATTATTGACTTCTGCAATTTTAAGCTAAAAAATAGCAATTTTTTTCACAAAAAACTGTTTTGTACGGTACAATTCAAACACCCTTCTTACGATCAACTAAAAATACCTAACATTTTCAAAAAATATCAACACTTGCTTCCTGAGCAACAACTCCAAATTAAGCCCTGCTTTAAATTTGAAAAGAACTTAGATCAACTAGTTATCAACCACCACGAGATTCAAGAAAATTGCATGTGTCATTGCCAACAGGCTCTTTACCAAAAATATGTCGATCCTTTCCACCAAACATGTGATAACAGGAGATCTTAACATCATTGAAGACTTAGAATTACGAGACCTTTTACAACTTGGCACCAAGTTTCGTCCTACTTTTAGAATCAATAAACATCTTTGCCTCAGACAATTCAATCAAGATCTTGATAAACTTATCATGTTAGCTAGTAATAAATCCAATTTACCTACTACCACATTTCTAGAATGGAAAGCTGCACTGATTACACAGAATTTCAACATTCACTCTTCAAGGCACCTTCTTTCAACTCTCTACACAATAAGAAACGACTCTTAGATCTAACCAACAAACTACAAGATAATTTTATCATTACCAAAATTGACAAAGCAACAATTTTAGTGTTCTCTGAAAAAACTTTTATTTTGACCTTCTGCACAAAGAACTAAATAGTAATGGCACTTACCAAAAAATTACTACCAACACCAAAATTCTTATCAATAAATTTAATGCACTACATAAAAGACTTAAGATACATCCACGGAAATATTATAACAGATTCGCAAATCTCTATGCCCTTCCAAAATTTCATAAGTCACCTATTAAATTCAGGTTCATTGCCAATAGTACCAAAAGTTATCTTAAAGAAACAGATTATCTTTTTGCAAAAAAACTTCGTTTAATACGTGACTTGATTAATAACTATGATTTTCAAGATCTGCATTGCAACTGGATGCAAAAAAACTTCGTTTTTTGCAAAAAAACTTCGTTTAATACGTGACTTGATTAATAACTATGATTTTCAAGATCTGCATTGCAACTGGATGATTTCAAGTAACAAACTCGTAATTAAGACAATTAATTCAATTAAAATCGACCATATACAATGCTATGATTTCGAAAACCTTTATACTACCTTACCGCTTGAAGAAATTTATACCAGCCTACTTGCTCTACCAGATATAATTCCTCAGATTTCTACAATAATTAATAACGAAAAATGGCAACTTTTTCTTACGAGCATGCTTTTCAATAATTATATTCTCTTTAACAATTGTATCTTTAAACAAATACAAGGGATCCCAATGGGTGGAAATTTTTCGAGCTCCGTCTGCGAATTATTTCTTTTCACAAGAGAATTGACATTTGTCCGATCTCTGGACGTAGCAGAACAAAAATTTTTTCAACACGTTTTCGTTACATTGATGATATCATAGCCATTCACAACCATAACAAAATAGAAGCAGCTAATATCTACCCAACCAGCTTAAAGCTAAATAAAATAAATACGGTGCAAGATAATGTAGTATACCTTGACCTTAATATCATTGATTACAATTTTATTAAAGTCTACGACAAGAGGAGAGAATTCACTTTTTCTACACTAAAGTTAACAAACTGGAATTCTAATATTTCCAAAAGAATCATCATTAACACAATTTTTTCACAGATTCTTAGAATAAAAAGGATCTGTAATACAACAGAACACTTACAAGAAGAAGTACTCTACTTCGTCACAATTTTTGAAAAATAACCAAATTCCTAAGAAAAATAAAAATACTTTAAAAAAAGCTGGCATTAGCCTTACCAATTTTTAGATAATTAGTTTGGATAATGAAATTTTATGCTTAAAGCCTATTGGAGGGCAGATGATGGATGGCTAATTCAGATTATCTAATGTAAAAATTGTATAATGTAAATATACAGTTTATTCTTCTTCAACACATTACTTTCCTCCAAGTTTTTGGCACTCTACTTTAATACTATTATGTAATAGTTTTAAATTATTAGAAGGCAGACTCTGCTTTTATTAACAAAATCGGGCCTTTTCATTTTTCATAGTAGCTTGACAGCCCTCTAGCTTGAATGACGACTTTTATTAACAGATGATTATTTTCCAATTTACACTTTCTTTCTGTGGCCAAAAATAAGTAATTTTAGCTGAAATTAGCCATTTTCACTTATTTTTAACAGTTTTCTTCTTCCTACAACTTGACTGACGCCATTTTGAGTTTTTCCGTGTTTTTTTCTCATTTGTCACCCCCTTGTGTAAAAAAGAGGGGGACCGGCCAACTTTCTCTCTCAGCCCATTGGCCTCTTCAGTTTTAAGCTTCGCACGATGACGTCATTATACAATAAGGAAGGTTGGTTTGAACAAGAAAAGATTTTTGCGCCCTTTTCCAAAAAAATTTTCCGGAAGCTGAGGACGGAACCTTTCAGGTCAGTTTTTTTGTTTTTAGTATAAGTTTTTTGGTCCTAATAAGACCCTGCAATGTTTTTACTTACTAAATTGAATAAATTTTTTTTTTTTTTTACTTACAATGTCGATTACATTTTTTTACTTAACAATGTCGATTACATTTTTATCTGTTTACAGCACCTTTCTAGGACCAGCCCGTACATTGATGTGTATTTTGACTAATAGCAGACCGCTATTTATTTTAATTTATTATTTTTCTACTTTGATTTTGATTTTGATTTTACATCGCTCGGAATCATAATAGCCTTTGACACCTTAATGTGTTTTTCAGCGGACGTGTCGGGAAAAAGAGACAGAGCAGTGGAGCTACTAAAAAGGATTTATTCAAAAGAATTTTTTCGGAAATACTAATATACTTTTGTATAAAGTTTTTTTTTTTTTCGCATTAAACAAGAGCTTCAATGGTCTGTTTCGGCGAAATGCGTAATGGTAATTAGCCTATTTCGTAGATCAGTTTTTTTTTCCCTTGAAAAGCCAACTGAGAGTACGAGTGGGCTAAATATACCAATTTTCCGCTATTTAATTATGTTTTTGTAGCTAGTTTTTTATGCTTTTTGTGTCTTTTTATTATTTTTTAATTTTGATTTTAATTTTTATGTATTGGCATATTATACATTGGCAATTTTAATTTTAATGTTTTATGTATAGGCATTTTATATATTGACATTTATAATCCATGTTTTTGTAACTTCCTGATTTATATACATATATTTTTTCCGTCCATCTTTTTTTCATGTGAGTTAACTTTTCACATTCACAACAGTCAGATTAATTAATTTTTTTCATGCAATAGCAAGTCTTCCAGCACTAAAATTTGGCAATTTTATCGCGCTTATACAGTTTTTCCAGTTTTACCAGGCAAATTTCTTATTGTCTATGTAGTACTATGTTACAACATTTCATGGAGCTACAGCTCCTGGTAACTTTTTAGCAAGGTAGCTGCAATGTTCCTACCTACTACTATTCTTTCAAATCTTTTTGCAGCATTATGCGCAAAAGTTTTTGAGACCAGATAGGTCTTTCATCTAATTACCAATTCACTTTACATTTTCTTTTTCAATATATATATATATATAGATAAGAATAAATTGAATTTAATTAAAAAATATATATGTAATATATGTATATATGTAAAATGTCCTCTTTCTTTTATTTTCATTTATAAACATAGCAGTACACATGAGCCATGAAGATATCCAAACAATCATTTTTCACTATTCGCTAAGTCACCAATGAATGACAACTTTTCATATGAGGTGTGAATTCATGGTGGATAATCTGGTAAATAGTAACTACTGGCTATAAAAATTTAAATATTGGTCATGTAGAGTTTTTTTATTTATTTTTTTAAGATAAAATTTTTTCTTTCTTTTATTTTATTTATGAACATAACGGTACATATGAGCTATGAAGACAGCCAAACAATCATTTTTCATTAATTCACAGTTACCAATGACTGGTAACTTTTCATGTGGCATAATCAAAGAGTTATAGCAAGTTGCTTGCATAAATCCTCTACCTTATGTTTCTGTACGCATGATTTAAAAAAAAATTACACCCATATTTTGCTTAGAAAGAGCTTTGTAAAAAAACTTATATCAAAAGTATGTATATAGTCTTTATAACTTTAGTTATAATTAACTAAATCATGTTCTCCTAGTTCAGGCATAAGAAATCTTTGTTTAGTGGCAGGTGTTACATTATACGAGGGCTATCCAGAAAGTAGATTACGTTTTGGAATAAAAAAATAAACAAAGTATAGATAATAATAAACAGAGTTAGGGTGTAAAATTCATGAAGACTAAATAATTCCTCAATGAGGAAATCTTAATTCATTGGTAGGTCTTACATTAAATAAGGTTACACACTTCAAGGTTAAAATTAAATTAAAACTCTACAATGATTTCTTCAAAGCTTATGAGCAAAGACAAATAGTAAATTTATTTATTAACTTAATCACTAAATATTTATATCTGCACCATTTGCATGAATATAAAGGAATATGTAACTAAGGTGTGCATATTTATTTATGCATCTCTATGTAAAAGTATGTATATATAGACATTTAGATAGATATGCACACATACATTCTTTAATACTTAAAATCACTCCTTACAAACAAAGACATAAAAAACAAACGAAAGTTATAAGTGCAAAATAAAGTACTCAGTTTTAAATATTAAATTAATAATATAAGAAATACAATCTGCTGAATAAAAATTTCCTGCCTTCATTCGAAATAATGCTGTCCCCGCATAAAATACGGAACTAATAGAATCTATTGCACTGCACAAAATTTGTATACATAAACATACTACTAACGAGATAAATATTCTGATAACAACTAGTTTTCCCTTACATTTACATATTTATCACAGACGCAAAATGAGTGAGAATAGAAATAAAACAACAAGTGAATTTTTTGTTTAGTTTATATAACTATTATTTACTATTCTATTCTAATGATTTTCTGTAAAATGGCTGTAACTGATCTATGCAAAATCATTACCTGTTATTCATACACGTAACAATTGATAGTTTAGTCACCAATATTTGGCTAACATCAGCAGAGCATAAACAAGTATAGATACTTAAATATATGGCTAAATTAACTGCTCATAGTATGTAAAAATCTTGTGCTTAATGAAATGATTATTCTACTAGTTTATTTCAATAATTTATAACTTTAAATAAATTATAATTAGAATCAATTAATGAAAAGATTAAAATCAAACTAGAAATTTACTACTTCAGACTTCTTCAATATTCTAAAAAATTAAAAACACACAGGCAGAATAAATTCTTTAAGAATAATAAATAACAAGAATTTTACCATTTTGCAGAATTCATCGGTTTTCTAAGACTTCTTCCACTGATAGAAACTAAAACAAAATGCCTCACATGTAGGGAAATATATAAAAAGGTAAACCACTAAATTATTTTTGAAACTGAATTATAATATGAGGGAGGACTCAAATATAACCGAAGTTATACTCCTGAGCATCACATAATTATAGTAAGAGGTTGCGCTGCTATAACTCTGTAGGGGAACTTCTTCTAATAGGGGGACTAATAATTAATTTTTTAAGTATTATCAAATGAGGTAAAAAAATCATTCATTTTGTGAAAATTTGCTTATCTGTTTCTATTCTACAAATTAAACTTGATTTAATGTATCTTTCTGTATTCCTTTTTAGTAAAAACTTTATAGATTAAGGGTAATATCAGTAATATAAATATACATATCTCAGAGATTATTATATGGAATTTAGGATTTAAAAATTAATAAAAAATAATGAGCTTAGAATAGAAAACGGTGTCATTTCAATACCATTTACTATTCTTGGAGAAATGCTTTCATAATGATGTCAGTACTTTTATTTGATTCAGTCCATGTTCAAAATTTTATAATTACAATTATGCAAATTTTCATAATAGTACCTTGTATAAAGATCTTTGCATTCTTATGCAAATTAATTTCTAATATAGAAAAAGGATACCTTCCTCTATGGGCATTTTTATGTCTGTAATATAAGTAAATTGTAAGTAAAGTGTTGTTATTTAAGTAAATAATTCATTTGTTTTGCTAATCAATATATCAAAATAAATTAATTCAAAAGTTTGCTACCTATGCAGAAAACTTATAAATATTGTTTCTTACAAGTTACAAATTTGTCTTCCATAAGGGTAGGGAAACCTTTTTGTAAGGGCACACTTATGAAAATTTCTAGTGGGTGACTTGCATAAAGGTGTTGTCACCATTAAGATGTCCCTTCTCAGGTATTGAGGAGGCTGTCTGTCTTAGTATTAAGTAATCTTTAAAATTAATGTTAAAATAGGAATTATGTGGAAAATATTTTAGGCATACTATTAGTTATTTTTGTTTGTTATATAATTTGTAACAGTAAATAAAGATGAATGTTACATCTCATTACTTGATCTGACAATGAGAAAAAAACTTTTTGTTATTAAGTAATTGTTTGCATTGTTATGAAAGGGAACAAATTATACCAGTGTATTATTTATTGGCACATGTAGCATAAAGATTAAATTCACTTGCTAGATTACTAATTGCTCCTATAAAACTTGGTTGTGCCAATTTTGCTTTTAGCATTTGAATTTAATATTTAATACTTCACTTGTATTATTAAAAATTAAAAAAATATATATAGCATTTTCCACACCATTAATATTTTGACACCATTAATCCACACCATTAATATTGTCTTAACTTATTTTTCAGATGCTGAATTTGGAACAATGAGTTCAGTTTTCTATTGCTTTTGCATGTTTGGAAAGACTTGCAAAAATTTTGAAATTTAATGTAAAACTAGATAATTAAAATAGATTGTTTTATTATCAAGGCTTCATCATTTTGATTTTTGACAGTGTTTTCTATAAAAAATATGATGAAAAAGTATTTTCTTTTTATAAGCAATGGGAAAAACTATTAACTAATCCAAGAGACATATTTAACATATGAACAATCAAACATTAATAATAATTCATGCTTTCTGAAAATCTTAGGAGTAACACTGAAACCATAACACAGATCATTTTTACAAAATGACATTCTGCATCATTAAAGTTAATTTTTATTCAATTAAACATGTGCTGTAAATAAAGATGTGAAATGCTGACTTATAAAGGATTAAGAACATAAAATCATTGTTATTTAGTGTTTCTCCAAGTTTTTCCTTTTGTATTTATTTAAGTTTTCAAAAACTAACCTATCAATGCATTAGATATGAGAATGTACGCTTATAATAATGTCTTATGCTAAGTTACTAAAAACAAACAAAATTGAATTGAACAGAAATGTAAATGGCATACTAAATTTTAGGATTAAGGATTATTATCATTATTATTGACAATGAACTGAAAAGAGAATTTCTCCACCTTTCCAAGTTAAGATTGATAATGCACATGCCCAAGATGCATTTTAGTTTCTGTTGAACTGCACTTAAATTCCATTGACTTTTCTCTACATAATAAAATTAAGATTTTTTTTAAGGTCATAAATTCTAATTTAAGTAGCCTTTGTTATTTAAATTAGCTGTTTAATTTACATGAGACACACCAAACCAAAATATTAGAGACTGCCATGTATACTGTATCAATTAGCATGCATTATTTTTAATAGGCAAATTATTTATAGAATTAAACTCCTAAATCAACAAATGTACTTTTAAAAATGGCTTGGAAAAAAATAAAATTTCTGAAGTTTCACTATTTTTGGAAAACACCATTATATAAATAAAGTAACCCAAAAATAAATATTAAATTAACTCCCAAAAATAAATTATGGAAATAAAATAGCATTTTATCAAGTGGAAATTTCATACAGATAGATGCATGGGTAGCATTAAACAGAAATCATAATCTGAAAAAAAAAAAAAAAAGAGAGAGAGAGAGAGAGAGAGAGAGCCAGGTGTGTCTTATTGCTTTTATTTTTTCTTAAGGTAAGACACATACAAAAGTAATTTATTCTTGAAATTTGCTTAGTTATTTGATCATTCAATATATAATACTAAATTGTATGAATTTTTTTAAATAGAAATTTATATTTTTCAATGACATTGGAATTATTTCACATTTCAATAATTGCTTTAATATAAAATTCAACAATAATCAATTCATATACAGGGTGATTTTAAATTGCTTTTACAAGTTAAGAGGGGTGATAGTACCCATCCAGATGAGCAAAAATTACCTTACAACATTAGAGATGCATTCCACTCTGAGAGGCAGAAACACATCATGGAAGAACAAGAAGATTATCTCCTAAGACTATCAAGAATTAACCATATGCAAATTTGCACTCAGAAGAAGCAGCATTTTGGTCTTAGTTGAGAAACGCCAATCAGCCGATCACAAAAACAAAAACAGAGAAAGCCTGTCACAGCAAGCAGTGTCCTTGAAAATGGCACAACATCAATGCTTCATGCATTATCTTGATAACATCATCCGTAACTTTTCATGAATGCTATGGCGGAGTACATGTATGAAAAATTTGCAGATATTCACCTCACATATGGTGAAGAAAAAAGAAATAGATGTGAAGCACGAAGTTTATACGAACAGCGGTTTCGAACTTAGCGTAACAGCGGTTTAGGTTGGATTGCAAACCATCCAACCTTTTCCAGTGTTGATCAAAAACTGTGAGAAACAGGCTCTTTTGCCATCTCAAAAAGTAATACAGGATGTTCGTGAAATGCACAAACACCAATAATGAAAGAGTGAGTTTTGACTAGATTTGAAGCAGCTCCTCCCACAAGTACACAGGGGTAGCAAGACTGGGCAGATTTTGTGCACTTGATGCTTGGAATGAGGAATAACAATCCATGATTCCCTGCATTATTAATATTATTTAGTGATAAGGCAAAATTCAGCAGAGAAAGTATTTTCAACTTGCTCAATCAACAAGTTTGGTCTGACAGCAATCCCCACTGCACTGCTTCTCATAAACACCAGAAATTTTCCGTGAATGCCTGGCAGGTATCCTAGGTGATTACCTAGTAGGCACTTACATCATGGCAGACCGTTTGACCGGCACAGCATACCGTATCTTTTTGGAACACGTGCTTCCAAGTTATTGCAGGCTGTTCCACTCCCCATCTAGAAAGACATACGGTTAATGCACGATGGAGCCCCAGCGTATTTTTCCATCATGGTCTGTAACTTTTTTAATACCACATATCCCGCATGATGGATCAGACATGGCAGACATGTGGCTTGGCCTCCTCACTCATTGGACCTCAACCCACTGGACCTTTTTCTTCCATGAAATCTTTAGTGTACAAGACACCTGTGGACTCTGCTGATGATTTCGTGGCAAGAATCGTTGTTGCTGCGACACAAACAAAACACCAGGAATTTTCGAGAGGGTGTGTCAGTCTTTCCTTCGCCAATGTCAACTGTGCAATGACTGGCATTTTGAGCAGATTCTGTGAATTTTCCACTAAACAAAAAATCTGATTGTGCAACTTTTGTTCACATTCACTCTCTTTTCCAACACTGTTGTAAGTTCAGGTTGGAATTCTAATATTCCTCTTTCTGCCTCTCACAGTGGAATGCGACCCTATATTCTATGGTAATTACTGCTCATCTGAATGGCTACTATCACCCCTCTTAATTTGTAAAAACAATTTAAAATCACCTTGTGTTTTAGAAAACTTATTTGCTTAATGAAAAACTTTTTGTTTTCTTATTTTAGCTTATCACATTTAATAAACTGCAAAAAATTTCAACATGTGTGGAAAAAATGTGTGGGTGGTGCATTTTAAATACTGCAAATTTTAATTATGACTAGTACATACAATCTATTTTACTGCTATATAACTAAAACCACCAGCATATAAAAATCAAATGTGTTTAAAACAGCATTTTTACATTCATAATATACATATATTATCAGCATATAATGATAGAAATATGCTTCTAAATAAATGTACTATGTGAGAATACATGTAGATTTCACGAAAAATATGCGTACAAACACAGTAGTAGATTTAGTAAGAAAATAGTTGATTCACACATTTTTTTGCTAAAACATGCACGTTAATATGCAGTAAAAGGTACAAGCCATTTACTTGAACTTTTACCAAAATTATACCTATATGCATAGTAAAAACATATGGAAAACTTATGTAAATTTCTGTGTAAAGTACAAGTTTGTGAAAAATTTAAATGACTGTGTAGATTTATGTGAATTTTCACTAAAAATACACAAAAGTAAAAAAGTGGGAAGATTTACATATATACAATAAATATATATGCAAATTTTCACCAAAAATATATGCAAATACTTGAAATATTTATATTATATGTAAAAATACGAATAAAGTGCAGTCGTTCCCATAAATGTATCCAAATTTTACGT